CAAGTGGGAGATAACCACATCATGTATCACTCTGGTGAAGAAATTCCTTAGCCCCATCCCTTATTGTTTCAGGGATGGGTTCGGGACAGGTGGCATAGGGCAAGTCACTCTGATCCAGGGACCACAGATCAGGGCTACAGGGCAGATAGTGGGGTTCCCTGTACAGCCTTATCTTGTCCAGGTTGCCAATAAGGCCTCACTTCACCTCTGTATTGCTGAGGATGCTGCTCAAAGCACAACACAGTGTGGACTTCTTCTGTTCAGGGTTCCAACTACTTCATTCCATTTCCCTTCCCTCTTGGTTTTCCATTTTTCCATTACCCCTCTGTGTCCACTCATTGCATCTATTATTGTGCAGCCATGATGTCAGGTGTCTCCCCGGCACAACTTTAAGAAGATCGGGAAATAACAAGCTCTGGTACTTGAGCGAACTGACTTGGTGCTTGGAGCCAGGGTGGAATAGCCCACACTGGAAGTGTCTATTAGCTTGTTGCTAACATGCTTATTACTTGTTGTAGATCTTGTTAAGTTATGTTGCCCAATTACTCCATTCCATGTTTCATGTCTTCATTCCTGCTATGGAGGAAATCATGGAGAACCTGGAGGTGATCTTTCTCCAAGGAAAGGTGTTAGTAACAAGTATCATATCTACATCTGGTCCATATACGGTGCCTCCAGCTGTTCTTTTTTTTAAATGTTATTTATCTAACAAAATTCTGGCCGGGCCCAGACTCACTAGCCCTAGAAAGAGGCTCCTCATGAGGCCAGAGGAACGTTGCCTGGCTATTGTTTTATTGGTTGATTTATTTAATATGCTGCAAACCACTTTGAGATTTTTATTAAAAAATATAAAGTGATATAGAAATTAAAAAATAAAAATAAAATAAAATGTCCTGCTTGATTGTAATGAAACCTCTTGGCAGTTTACAAGAAATATTAAAATTATCATTTAAACCAAATAATTACAACATTTAAAATTGAAATTAACTGCAAAAAGATTGCAACGTATCAACATCTACTTCTCTGGATAGGCTTGCCTAACCAAAAATATTTTAAGCAGGCACTGAAAACAGTACAGGGAAGGCATTTGCCTGATGTCCACAGGGAGTTCCAAAGTGTGGCTCTTACCATACTAAAAGATTGATTTCTTACAACTACGCATTGAGCAGTACCTGTAACAGTACAAGGTCTCCTGATCAAAATAGTTGATTGGGCACATCCAACAAATAAACTGGTTTTAAGTTTTATGTACCAATAGCAGCAAAATCCCACTTTCAATACTGTTAGCACCTGCAATAGCAGACCCTCCAAGTGTCCCTGTTTTCCAGGGACAGTCCTGGGTTTACAGAGGCCATCCCAGTTTCTGATTTGATCCCAGAATGTCCTGATTTTCCTTAGGACTTCCCTATTTTTGTCAGAGAAATGCTGGAGGATATGGAGCTACGCAAACCTCAAACCAAGGCGATAAGTAACTATGCAACCTTTAGAAGACAACTGAAGGCAGCCCTCTATAAGGAAGTTTTTAAATGTTATATTATGTTTTTATATATGTTTGAAGCTGCCCAGAGTGCCTGGGGCAACCCAGGGTATAATAATAATAATAATAATAATAATAATAATAATAATAATAATTGAATAGGACTTGCCTATTTTCGTTGGAGAATTGTTGGAGGATATACGATGGTCTTGGGGCATACATACTCCTTCCAATAAGTGCATCTCCCATAACATCTTGCTGGAATCCTGTATTATACCACAAATATTCCAGGGTGGGGTTTTTTTTGTCTTACTTTTGTTGTGCTAGGGTGCAAGAATTGCCTCTCCAGATGGCAAAAAGGCAATAACATTGGGGGAGCATTGCAGAACAGCTAACAAAGTGGAATGATCTGTGGATGGTCCTGTCTAAACCCAGCAGTAATGCACAATTATTGCATCAGTGACCTGTGGAAGAATATACCAACAAAACACACAGAGAGACTAAGCCCTAGTCTCAGGGCTGACCTTAGGGGTGAGTGAACTGGACAGTTGCCCAGAAGGCTGAGCAGAGTGGAGAAGGCAGATGGCAGGCCACCACTAAAAGACCTGTTTGACTAAGCCCCAGGATGCAGTAACAATCTCTGCTAGAAGGCGGTTAGAATTGGGTGGAGGTACTCAGGAGAAACACAACCCAATCCTATCATTCTGCTTGATTCCAGGCCGAGAAAGAGATGCAGAAGAGAATTTTCACATGCATTCCATGCATGCACTAATCATCCCAGGAAGCCCCCAGCTCTGAACACATGTACAGGGTTCCTTGTAGGGGGCAGCAGCAGCAGACCCCCAGCATCATACCTGCACCAGGCCTGTCTGGTGGCCCCGCAAGGCTGACCAGCAGCAGGGATAGCACTGACAGAATTCCTCGCCTAGGGTACTATTTATCCTAGGGCTACATATATTTGGTGTGTGCACTGGGTTTTATTCTTCTGCAGTCAGTTATTTTTAGAAAATCTAAAATGTAAATGATACATTTTGGGCTTACAGGCTTCACATCTCTGACCCAAGGGAAATGAGAAGGAAGAGAATTTAGCTTGAAGTTAAACACATTGTGATGAAATATTCTGAATCTTAACTGAGAATGATTATCCCAGATAGCTGGAGGGATCTCCAAGTTAGCCAACATATTCACTTTTCTTTTTGTATCCTAGCAGACAAGATCCCAGAGGAACGATGCAGGCGAAAGCTGCAGCATCATTAGTGGTTTTGCTGCCTAATGAGTAGCTGAATCACACGTCTGTATTTTAAATACCAGTGTTTGTCACAAATACAATATCTACTGCTGTGGTATTTTAGTGTGACGGAAAGTATTTTATTTATTATTGACAACCAACGACCCTTGCAGTACATGAGAACCTAGGTTTGCTTTTATTATTAGTCGCAGATGAACAAACTACTGTAATTGAACTTGGTCATTCAGGAAATAAAAGTTAGTGCTAATTTAAATGTAGTTAAGTTCCCCACACAATTCATACCAGTTCTAAAGGATCATATTAGCTAAAACCAGTGCTATTTTCCTAGAAAAAGAGGTGCCGGAACTCACTATGAACACCTCCCTTGTTCTCTTATAATGGCAATGGTGCCCACCTGAGAGAGATCAGAACTGAGTTCCAGTGAGTTCCGGCTGAAAAAATGCCCTGGATGTGACTACTATAATCCCATTTTAGGTTCCAGCAAATTCTTAAGGGTTATCTACTATTTTCCCATTCCACTTCAACTCTTCCACCAATTACTTATTTGTTCAACACTGCGTCCTGGCTGCCTGCCTGCCTGTCTGCATTTAAATTACCAGTTAATAATAAACCTCCATTTGCCCACCGGTAACTGTCCTGCTCTCTGAAAAGACCAAGGCTGACTGACTTCTATGGCCAGATCTGAACCCAGACTGGAGTACAGCTAAAGAATGTGTTATCCCAAAATAATTGCAGCTCCTCCACCACAACCCTCTGCACCCACTTCCCCAACAATTTGCCAGGCAGAGGGAACAAATGAAACAGTACTGAAAGGATTTGTTGAGGTAAAGGAGAAGTTTTTAGACGTAAAGTTAGAGATGTTCTAATGAACAGAGAACAGCATGCTTTAATAGATAGGGAAATAGACACCTGCACTGGAGAGAAATTTTGGTATCTGCTAAATTCATTTCCTTTTGTATAAGCCAGTAGTGGACAGTGGTCAGTCATGAACACGGCAGCAATGAGGTCAGTATGGTGCAAGCACACAGGCAGAGTCAATCTGGTGCTCTTGCTGTTGCATTTGTACCACACCAGCCTTGCAGCTGCCTTTCCTTTCCCCCTCTATCTCTTGGTAAGAAGCAGAAGTATGACTGACTGAAGGTCAGATGAGTGGTGACCCGACCACACTGCCCCCTACTAGTATGAAATAGGATTTATTCATTTTTAATTTTACTGTGGTGATGAAAACTTATTAGCATAGTTACTGGAAATTCCATTGGGGGAAAAAATGAGACTTATTAGTCACCCATTTGCAGCAAACATAAACATGTACTTCCTAATTTCAGTAATGATTTGAATGAGATACAGTAGATTTGCATAAATGAGAAAGGGTGGATAATTACAGGGGATTGCTTGATATGATTAAATTATTGGGCACTAGGGTGTGTGTGAGAGAAAGGTTTGATATACAGATTGTTTGGTGTGCTTCATTTTAGACTTAATAAACATTCCCAGATATTGTAACTTCTGATCTTGTCGCCTCTCAATGACATGTTAAAATATTTGAATGACCATTCATGTTGCCCTCTACCCTTCAAATATAATATAAAATAATAATAAATTTTTAAAAATTCAGGAGAATTTCATGGCTTTATTTCTACATTAAATCCATCTGTGAAATAATGTTCTGTTTTCTCCTCTCACCCTCTTTCAGCACAGCAGCTTGACAGAATTCTTTGTACTGGCAGATGTAATAATGTTTCAAAACATCTTCTAGTTAACTTTACTTTCAGTTTGCTAAGTTTTTACTCTGCCTGCACTGACTTGGTTGGTACTGGCTGGAATTTGCACAGTTATATTCAGAGCTCGCCCCACCTTTCTTTAAAAATGTTTAGGGGTACTCTCATTTTCCCACTCATATTGAAATACTGCCCCTCAATGAGGCCAAACTTAGATTCACAAAATGTTTAGGGGTATGCGTACCCCTGTGTCCTCCCAGAAAAAAAAGCACTAGTTATATTACATATTTGCCCAGAAAACCATAAGAGCGATCCCATGGCAATGGGGGTAGGAGATCCTGCCACAACTGGTGGAGCAACTGCCACATCTGAAAACCTGCCAGCTAACTGTGGCCAGGATGAGATGTGGGTGGTGTGGCCTTTTCTCTCCCCTTCATCTTCTTCCCCTCTTTTTTCTCCTCTACCCACTGACTCTGAGATGCCCTTAGAAATAAATAAAGACGTACCAGATTTTAACACAGCTGTGATCAGTTTGCCCCCCCCCCAGACAAAGACTACCAAGATAGCTCAGTTGGTAGAGCATAATACTATTAATCTCAGGGTCGTGGGTTCAAGCCACACATTGGGCAAAAATATTCCTGCATTGCAGGGGGTTGGACTAAATAACCCATGTGTGCTCCCTTCCAGTATGGTGTAGTGGTTAAGAGTGGTAGATTCGTAATCTGGTGAACCAGGTTCGTGTCTGCGCTCCTCCACATGCAGCTGCTGGGTGACCTTGGGCTAGTCACACTTCTCTGAAGTCTCTCAGCCCCACTCACTTCACAGAGTGTTTGTTGTGGGGGAGGAAGGGAAAGAAGAATGTGAGCCACTTTGAGACTCCTTCAGGTAGTGATGAAGCAGGATATCAAATCCAAACTCCTCCTCCTCCTCCTCCTCCTCCTCCTCCTCCTCCTCCTCTTCTTCTTCTTCTTCTTCTTCTTCTTCTTCTTCTTCTTCTTCCAACTCTACAGTTCTATGATTCTATGACTGTGGTCCCTGCTCTTTATAACTCCAGTTAACTCCTCCCCTCCCACCTGCCAAATAAATGTCACACATAAAGTAGGGAGCAGGAGATATTCATTTGTAGAAAAAGAGATGCAGTCAGTACTTGCACGCTTCATAGCCCTTGTACAGAGCAAAGCTTATCAGTTATTGATGAAGAGCTATGAGTTGCACTGTACAAACATTAACATAGACCTGTGCTTGGAAGAATGTCTAAAAGTGTGTGGGGGGGGAATACCTTAAAGACAACTTTAACTGCATCATCTAATAGATCTTCTATACCCTGTGTGATGCGATTCCTATGCATGTTTTCTTGGAAGTAAGTCCCACAGTATTCACTTGGGAGTTTACTCACCTAGTAAGTGTGCATAGGCCTGCATCATTAGTGACTGGGGCTGCACTCCTAATATCCACCTCATTCAATTGAGCTTCTTGTATAAAGTGGCCATCAGATCAATGTTTCTGTTTTGTTTTTGGCTTTTTGCCAGTAGGTTTACCTGTCAGTGCATGTTCTTTGAGTCGAAATCCCAGATTATTATTTTTTTTAAAAAAAGTCTATCAGACAACAAAGACACATGGCAATTAAAAAAATTAGTTGAGAACTAGCTGACCTATATAGTGTAAATTGGGGTGGGACCTCCCCATTTGGTCCATGAGGACATTTTGCCAAGCTACCCCACCTGGCCTTATATCAGGTGTGGGTCAGGTAAGCGCAGGGCTTGACTGAAAGAGTATTTGCAGGCATTGCTGACAAGCTGGTTGAAAGTGTTTGCAAAGGCTCTTTCAAAGCGCAGAGCAAGATAGTACTTTGAGAGGGTCTTCCAATCACCTGGTGTCAGCTCACTTGTCAAACTTGGCCCAGGAGAAGTGTGTGTGTGTGTGTGTGATAACAGTCTGGATTGCTGGGCTAGAAAAGTTCTCCATCCCAGTGTAAGTGTTAAGCTCAGTTCAATCTCAGTTTTCAAACGATGCTCAAAACAGATGCTACGAAAGGAAAATTGCATTCCCTTTTATATGATTCCTCTTTCTGCTGCTGTTTAAGTAGGCTTTTGCGAAGTAAGCTGGTACTTGCAACAGAGATATATTGCGGTCTGTGCAGCAGAAAGCCAGGAGCTATATCTGAGACTTTGTTTGGCATCTATTAGGAGGTCACTTCCCTGTAGCTAGAAGATTCTGACTGCACAAGATTCAGTTTAACAGGGAGAGAAAGACAAACCTGAGCACTGTGTGGCATTAGGCAGGAAGATAGATTAAGAATGAATGTTATCTGTTTTACTCATGTCATTCTAATCACTACTTAGGACCTCTCTCTCAAATGGAAATAATTTATTAGAGATAAGAGTAGGTTAACAAAGCACAATCTTTTATATTTGAGTGTTTCAGGGAGCAGCCCAAAGCCAAAGATCTTCCAGGGGTTGGCATAAGTGGATCTCTGGCTGGGTTAGGGCCATGCCATCTGAAGTCCCTCATCCCAACTCAAATATATGCCAGCATAAATCCTCCATCCTAGCTCAGCTGAAGGAACCCTCACTGAGCTGAAGCTAGGGTAGCCAGGGTCCTAAAAGAGCAGGATGGGGCAATGGAAATTGCAGAACACACATAAAATATGTATATTTCCATACTCCTATTCCAAACTATCTTCAGCTTGGTCACATGACCTAGCAACTCAGTGGAAGTTACACTGGCAGAACAGGTGGTATAAATACATTTTTAAGAGTAGCTCCATTCCTGAACAGAGTTTGCAACTGAGGTTTAACTCAGTGTAAATTAAGTTGGCTTCCTATACAGTAGTTTGAATTGTTGTTTGTTTGTTGCCAAAGTTTAGTCACCTGCCAGTGTGAGGGAGCCTTGAAGTATCCAGGAACTTCATTTATTTTTTGGTGTGTGCTTTTTGTTTCTTTTTAAAAAAAATTTTTTAATTCAAAATTATAACAAGACATATTATCCAACAACATATCATCCTTGTCCCCCCCCATTTTTCCTCCCTCCCCCTACCACACAACCCCCCCACCCCACCCCCCGACTTCCCTCAGTTCCAGTCTTTGGTTTCTCTAAGAATGCTGTTTTCTGCATGTTACAAAGTTGTATAGATCCTCAAACTATTTAGCTGATTATTATCAATAAAAAGTTTGTGAATGTTTATTCAAAACCTGCCAAGGAGTCCAGATCGTTTTGTTGCGTCTTCAGATACTTTGTAAAGGGTTCCCATTCATCCTTAAAGTCACAATTATCCTTGTCCTGTAGCTTATATATCAGTTTTGCCAGTTCTGCATAGTCCATCAATTTTTCTTGTCATGATTCTTTAGTTGGGGTTTCTTCAGTCTTCCATCCTTGTGCTACCAGAACTCTCGCAGCCGTTGTCTTCATTTTTTTGATCCTGGAGGTACATATGCAGAAAGAATAAGAAAGAACTTGTATCTAAGATGACAAAACTTACACAATCAAAAGAGTATGTTAACTTTGTTAAGAAAATATCAACATGTTAATCTCTTCTTTTACAAAATAGCTTCTCATTATGCTGAACTGCCAGTACTAGTTCATAAAGGGGATTACTAGAAGGCAAAAATTGCTTCATGTCTTTTAAAGGTTCACTTTTCCCATTGGATACTTAGGTACAAAATTATATTGTACAGTCGAAGAGGGGAATGACTTTTGCCTAAATCTACATGAATGAATAGTTGCAAGTGCCTGGAGAGTGGATTGCACAAACATACTTACAAGCAGTGCCATATCTTTCAACTTGTCAAACAGGGCAAGTTTGTCCTGCTATTGCTGCATGCCAGTTTGAAACCTCATTATAAAACATTATTGCTAAACGTTAGGTGTGTCAAGTTGTGCCAGTAGAGGCAACTCAACCTACTCATAGACTGCTTCACAAAAACAATCTCTTCATCCCAGCTCTTGTCTCCCAAATGTCTTTTGGCTCTGCATTCTCTATTGCATCATCCAGATGATGAATGCATTTATGCAATTCATTTGTCAACATAACAGTGCATTAAAAAATGTCAATGGGTGCCAGTTTTTCTTGCTTTTGAAGCAGCTACTCACAGTAAGCTTGTAGGTAGTTGAGGCACACATTTCATCCCTCCTTGTAAATATCTTTACCTAAACCACATCTGGCATTTAGTGACTCAATCAACAGCACAAATGGCCTGCTCATATTTAAGCTGGTTAACTACAGTTGACTTACATTTAAAATCTTTTTACCTGCTTCCACACTGGGCATTTACTGTGGAATAGTCATGCTTTATTCATTCTCTTTTACAGGACATCTGAACAACACTGTGAGCAAAACACAGCCCTCTCCCAATATATTTTTCAGTTATCAGAAAATTCAACTTTTAATTCAACTTTGTATCTTAATCTTTTAAATTGTATTTTAATCAACTTGTTTTTATTATTGGTTGTTAGCCGCCCTGAGCCCGGTCTTGGCTGGGGAGGGCGGGGTATAAATAATTTATGATGATGATGATGATGATGATGATGATGAAACTGAAAGGAATACTGTAGTTATGGAATTTCCTCATGGGTAGATGGCTTAATGTGCTGCTATTCTGGTGGATTCTAGCCCTTTCTTTCTCTGTGGTCTGTCTCTCTTTTCTAGGAATCAACACTCAGCTGGAAACAACTTCTATCAAGAACGGGTAGACTTTCACAAAAGTTATGTATATATATCTCAGTAGTTAAGATTGTTGTGGCATGCATCTGCCTCAAGGGAGAATGGAGTGCGCCCTCAGGGGTGAAGTCAAACCGCTGTGTTAACCGTACTGAAGTGACCTCCCCAGGATGCAAGCCTGGGCAGTGTGTATGGAGGTCCTGGGCTGCCCAGAAAAGACCCCCCCTTCAGTCTTGCTGATGTGGTTTAAAGGAAAGCAGAGCAATAGGCTTAGCACCAGCTCGGCTGCAGAAGTTTCCAGAAGGAGGCATACAAGATGCCATCCAACTGCCTGAGGGACTCCACTCTGGATTTGTGTAGGGTTTATTCCTTAGCCTTTTCTTCCCCCAAAGATAAGCCGTAAGCAGAGGAGGTTAAGGATCAGAGTTTTCCTTCTCCTAAATAGGCCACCTTCCCAGTTTGCAAGCCCCATTTGTCACTCATTTCCCTCTACAGCACATGCAGAAACTACCTTCTTGACCACTGGTCCCACCATAGGGTCAATCCAGTGGCGTAGCGTGGGGGGTGCAGGGGGGGCCGGCCGCACCGGGCGCAACATCTGGGGGGGGGCGCGCTCGCACTCGCAGCTCTCTGCCCCTACCTGGCTCACTCACTCTCTCTCACTGCAGTGCTGGCTGTGCGAATCTGATCCGAGCCGCTGGGTCGCCGCCCACTGTGGAGGGGTGGGTGCCAGGCGTGCGGTGCAGAGAGAGCGAGGGACTATCTGGGGGAGGGACAGTGCAGCGGCCGCCCAGCGCAGCGCTGAGCGCGGGAGAGAACCACACCAGACCAGGCAGCAGCAAGAAGAAGCTGGCAGCGGCGGCAGGTTAGGGGTTAGGGGGCGCAAATTACTTGCCTTGCCCCGGGTGCTGACAACCCACGCTACGCCGCTGGGTCAATCCATCAGAGCCTGTCATTGCATGCAGGGGAGGT